CAGAATCCTTCTTGCATAGGCTTGCAGGATCCCCTCTGCAATCGTGAGGGTTTGAAGTGATGTAAAAGTTCATCTCATTCCTCACCTTGCCATGGACAGGGACACCTTCCACTATCCCAGGTTGCTCCAAGCCCTGTCCAACCTGGCCTTGGACACTCTCAGGGATGGGGCAGCCACAGCTTCTCTGGGAAACCTGCACCAGGGCCTCATCACCCTCACAGGAAAAAAAAATCTCTTCCCAATATGCCAGCAAACATTGTCCCCTGTCTGTCTGAAACCTTTCCCTCTTCTCCCATCTTTTTCCTATGTCTCTTCTCCTCTGATTGAGTAACCAATTGGCATGGGATATGCAAAAACTCACACAATATGGAAAACACCTTTGGACACTTCAGGAACATCTTATTAGACAAGAGCTCTTTGCACCTGACATGTCAGAGTGTTAAGCAGGGTTCTCTCTAGTGACTCTTCATCTAAAATGAGAGCAACACCAGGATAGATGGCGTTCTATAAACCAGGTGATCCAACAAAACCGAGTCTCCTCCTAATACCAACCAAGGTGAAGCAATACAAGCTGGATGCAGCCATCACTTGTGAATGCAGTGTGTTTGAAGCCAGCCATGTGTCACGATCTGCAAGGTGGGATTCGTGATGTGGTTCTTTTAGTCGGTCTTTGAGTATAAAAGATTATCAGCAAACCAAGGACTTAAACAAGAAAACACTCTCTATTGAGTGCTCATCAGCACTAATATGCGATAGAGGGAAAGGAAAGAGAAAGCAAAGCATAAGGAAAAGAGAGTAAGGGGATTATAGCTACCAACGTCGAAGTCCACTCAGTCGTCCAACGACGCAGAGTTTTCTGTCCGTTGAGGAGATCTCAAAGGAAGGTAAGTTTGGGGTATAATTTTATAGTCTTTTGCAAAGCGAGGGGCGCAGGGCCAAAGCCAGAGGAGATTGATGATCACTGTGATGAATTCCATTGCGTGGGGAGCAGGTGTAGGGTACAGAGCGATCCATGTCTTGCAAGTCTTTGCACACCAGCAGGAACGAGGGCAAGGTGTTGTGGAAAACCCATTGCACCGGGTACCACGCACAAGCCTCTGCTCACCAGCAATAACGAGAGCAGTGTATCGTGCAACCACCTGCAAACAATCACTGAGCAAACATCCATCTCAGCTAGGCCAGAACCCCCAAACCAAGTCCCTTGTGATATTCAGGGCCTCAGTCTCTGTCCTAGAGACAGATGAGGGAATCTTTGGACTGTCTCTTACACCATGCCACTGGGAGAAGTGACAGTCCTTGCTGGGCAGGAGGGTCTGTGCCCAATTTGGCACTTCCTCTCCAGGTGTTTGGCAGAGCAATCTGGTCCCCCCAAAACTACAAGAGTGGAGGTGCTGGGGATTTGCAAGTGGAACTTCTTGGCCTTTTCTCATGCCCAACCCAGAGATGTGAAGTCTCAGTGACAAGGTGGCAATCATAAAAATGTGGCAGATGGATTCTGCATGCTCAGCAGAAGCAGAGGCACCACCTGCCCACATTACTGATGGTGGGTTTTACTGGGAGGGTTTCTTGAAGGGACTCAGAAAAGGTTCCCCTCTGTGCCAGAGCAGCAGGTGGGTGCTGGTTTCCAGTGAGCAGGGTCTGTGTCCCTGGATGTGTCCCTGTGTCCCTGGATGTGCCCAACAAACAACAGCACCACAAGGTCATTACACAAGGGGGGATGACACAAGGCCCTGGGTTGGGAATCCTTCTCAGAGGTGTCAGAAGAGGAAACTGAAGCCTCCTTTTCTCTGGTGCAAGGGGAGCAACAGGAAAAGGAATTTTTGTGCTACTGGGAACTCCAACCTGGCCTCTGTGCTCTCCCTCTCCTGATGCTGCAAGGAGCAGCAGGAAAGATATTAATGAATTGAATGTATGGAAAAATGAAGGATTTAAGTGATGCTACAGTGAAGCTGTACTGTGATACTGAGTATTCCATATAGACACAATGCAGATGAAAGCACAGGAAACAGTTTCTTTCAGGTATTTCTTTTATCCCTGTCAAGGTCATGAGTCACATGTGAGTTCTCCTGGTGGCTGTGCAAAGCTCCCTAAAGTTTCCTCCTGCCATCCCTTTAAGGAATGGATCCTGCTGCAGGTTTTGCAGCTGGGATTGGCACTGGGAACTTGTAACAAAGCTCTGGCTATTTTAGGGATGAGGCTTTGCCACTGTGTCCACAGCTCCTAGCCCATTTCTTTCTGGCACGGGCATAGTGTCCTGTTAAAAGAATGATATCTGGGCCTATGAACACCAGGACAATGTTCCTGCTCCCCAGAGGGAGAATCTGCAGGGCAGCTCCAGCACAGGCACCCCAGCCAGCCTGGCCCAGCAGGCACTGCCAGGCTCAGCGTCCCCAAACCAGGGCCAGGCAGGAGCATCCCCAGGGACACAGCCACTGCTCAGCCCCAGCACCATCCCCAGGCCCTTCTGCTGCCACCAGGCCAGTGCCAACCCCAGAGGCAGCAGGCACAGCAGCCCTCCAGCAGCAGGACACGCACACACGGCCCAGGCCTGCAATGCCAAAGTGCTCGTCTTTATTCAAGCTGGGAAAAGCAGCCCCTGCCCCAAAGACAGCGGGGCTGGCACCACAGGGCTCCAGCCCAGCAGCACCCAGCAGGAGCAGCTGCCACTGCTGCTGTCACCCCAGCTGGGCACGGCACAGGCAGGGACACGAGGGGACATCAGGAGATGGGTCCAGCAGCCAGAAGTGAGGGGATGTCCTGCTTGGGAATTTCAGAGTTTCAAACCCAACGACTGTAAGAAGAAAGCAAAGAAGCACATCACGTGGTGTAACTTTCCCTGTCCCTCTCTCCCCCAGCCCTGCAATGCCCAGGGTGTGGTGCAGCAGCCTCAGGCTCAGGGCAGGTGAGGTGCAGTCCTTGGTGCAGACAGGTTGGACCTGGGCTATCTCAGTGCTGGCAGCCCTGGCTCCAGCTCTGTGCAGGTGCAGCAAGACCTGGATCATGTCCTGAGTGCTGCCCAAGGACAGGGAAGGTTTTTCTCTTTAGTGGCGTTGTTGAGTGGGGAGGCCTTGGCTGTCCTGTGTCTCCTTCAGCACCACTCAAGGCAGCTCCAAACCCCTCAAGGATTTGTACCTTCTCTTTTAGGCTACTTCCACTAATTCTAAGTTTGAAAGAAATTTGTATCAAATATTTTTGGGGAAAAAGGAGGAAACTCTTTAAGGTCCTTACCTCTTGCAGCACACACTGACTGCTGAACATCTTCCGATAGGTTTTGTTTGGGAGCTACAACCATCAAAGCTGCAGAATCCTCCTCGGCGCCTGCATCGAGCTGAACTCCCTGTTTCCATGGGCAAAAGAACACACAACTGTTACAGAAATAATCTGGTAGAGCAGGGTGTGCTTGCAGTCAGGCAGGGACTCTTCACATCCCACATCCCTGTCTATTTCCCTTGGATCTCTCCATCCCAAAATGGTGTCCAGTGGGAAACTCGCTTGAGAAACACCTCTGACCTCAATCTCCTGTTACATCATTCCCACAAACATGGTCACTTCCAGGGATTTTGAATTCCCACTAGTAGAGGCTCACACTTTCCCCCATTTCCCCATTTCCCCTCTTCCCTCTCACCTGCAGCACCCTGGACCAGCAGGAGGATCAGGGGGAAGAGCAGGAACAGGATCTTCATGGCTGCTGCCTCTCCTGGGTCTTCACAGGGCTGCAGAGGGGACACCAAAGAAGTACCCCAGGTAAGGCAGGAGCCTGGGCTCTGTGGTTCACCAGACTGCAGATGGGCTGCTTCCAAACACAGCTGATGATATTTCCTCTACCTTTCTCTAAAAAAAACGCTGTGGGTTGTGTCACCCTGCCAACCTTGGGAGCATTTTAGGGTGCCTCACACTTTTGGAAACAATTATGTGAAAGCAATTTAAATATGCTTTTAAATTATTTTCTCTGGTCTATTATGGTTTTCCTTCTTATAGACCTTCCCCTAAAAGCAGACTGCAAACCTAAGGCCAAGAGTTACCAATTCAACCAAAGCACTGGGAAGTGAAATTTGGGAAAAGCAGAGAAAAAGATTGTCATTGAGAGTTACAGAACTAGATTGCTTTTACTCCCTCAGGCTTCATGAATTAAACACACACCCCAAACACCCTGACCAGTCCTCTCTGCTTCCCTGGGATCACAAAAGTCCTCCCCGCTCAGCTTGGCAGTGCCCATTCCCAACCCCAGAGCATTCCCAGGATTCCCAGCAAGGACATTCCCCAGCACTGACCCAGGGAGCAGCCAGCGGGCAGGGACATGTCTTGGTGCCCAGAAATGGGAACAGAAATCCATGTGTGGAATTTCTGAAAGCCTGAAATGATGAGAAATCTCTGTACTGTGGTGGGAAAAGAGTCTGCTTACTTTCCCAACGAAACTGCCCATTGCCACAACAAAGAAGCTTCTGGGTCTCTCCTGCAGCATCAAGGCTCTGTACCAGACTATCCTGTACTTGGGAAACCTCAGTTTCAGCTTCCACATGTTCTGGTCTCTTAGACTCACATGAAAGCTTTTATTCTCTTTCCCAAAAAATCTCTGATGGCCAAACTTTCCACCTGGATACTTCCAGCAGTTTGTCCTTTAGGAGACTCTGCCATCCTGGTCTTTGAGCTGAGACATAGAGTGGGCAGGATTCTGGAAAGAGACCCCACACTCACCTGCCTGAAGAAGGTCAGGGTGTTGAGGCGCCAGCAAACCCACCAGGAATGGCTGTGTCCAGATGCCCTTGGGGCCAGGGAATGCTGCTTTGCCCCAAACAGGCTGGATTTATAGCAGTGCTGGTGGGTGGGATAGGCCCCAGTTGCTGCTGGCACAAGTGGCCTGGGCCAACCCAGGAGTGCCCCATGTGTGTGTGGGGGTGCTGGGGCTGGCCCTGCTCCCTCCCTGCTGCAGGGGCAGGGGCTGAGGTGCCTCGTGGGGCTGTTGCAATCAATGTCACCGTTGTCCCCATGCAACACCTCTTGTGACACCCATGGCACAGCGGCAACAGGCTGGGATGGATAGGGGAGGGATGGGATGGACAAGGAAGCTGGGTTTATGTTGGGAAGATTAGAAATGAGGAAATGGTTTACTTCTTTGCATCCTCTCATTTTATTTATGCTATAAATACTCAGAGAGGGATGTTGAAGACCGCACGTGTTCAGCTTTGTATGGTGAGAGGGAAGATTAACCTCTCATTTCATCTCAGAAGTCTTCTCTGAGGAGTTTATACAGAAGATGGATAAAATAAAATTTCAGGGTTTGCAGAGGGTAAGGAATGGACACAGAAGGCAGGGGTGATCTGAACACTGCCCACCAAACTCTCCAGATTTGGAAAGCAATGGTATGGGAAGCTTTTTTGGGGTTTGTCTCTTCTCCCTGGTAAGAACTGACAGGACCTGAGGAAAGGGCCTTGATTGTACCTAGGAAGGGTTAGACTGGAAATTGGAATCAACATCCTCACTGAAAAGGCACTCAGGCACTGGCACAGGCTGCCCAGGACAGTGATGGAGTCACCATCCCTGGAGGGATTTAAAAGCCATGTAGATGTGACACTTGGGGACATGGATTAGTGTTGGGCTTGGCAGTGCTGGGGGAATGGTTGGACTTGATGGTCTTAGAGGTCTTTCCCAACATTATTGATTCTGTGATTCTCTGGTTCTTTAAAGAGGAAACCTTCAGTGAAACAGGCAGGGGCCCCTGTTGCACCATTATACACAAATACATGGACACACACAGGTATTGAACCACACAGGGAATCAAATGCCTGACGTTGTCTTTGCACACAGGGAAGAGTCCCCTGCCTTTGATGGAGTAGAGCATTGTCCCTCCAGACTGCCTGAGGTGGGCAGAGAGGATGTGCTAGTTTTGCATTGATTGATGTTTAGTAAGGAGGGAAAAAACCACCAGTGGAAACAATTTTCCTGAGAGAAGCTTCTAAGAGCTTCTTCTGTGCCTGGAAAAAAACAAAAACTAGCTAGCTCTGAGAACTGACATCCTATTAAACCATTTAGAAGCTGGGTCCACTTCTGTGAACTCCACATTTTAAAGACAGGCAAGCCCGAGAGATCTGTGTCTAGCTTCTGGCCTCGAAAGGTAACTGTGCTCCACGGTGGTGCCAGCCCTGATCCACCGAGGCCTGTGCGGCCTGGCAGGGCCGGGCCGGGCCCCAGCGGCGGCCGGGCAGGGGACAGGAGGCCACAGGACCCCGGCCAAAGCTGGGCCAGTTCACAGCTGCTGACATCTCACTGACACCAAGCCCTGTTCCCCCACCATCGGCCCGTGCTGAGCTGGGGTCTGCCAGGCCCCGGGAGCGGCTCCGGGCCGGGCCAGGCCACCCCTGCCAGCGGCTACCGGGCAAAGGGAGAGGCCCAGTGCAGCCTGAAATCCATCACCGACTGCTGCGGCCACTGCCCACTGCCCACTGCCCACTGCCCACTGCAGGCCAGGGCCAGATATTAACCCTTTCATTGCAGAAGTTACACCTGCAGACCTTGATCCTCTCTGAAGAGAGAAAAAGACAGAGTAATGACGCATAAAAAAACATGAAGACATCAAGGACAGTAAAAAAAGAGTCAAATTTCACATGAAAAAAGAATGAGGAGATGCCCTAGTATTGAAGCTACAAGTTCTTTTGGTAAGGCCATAAAAATAAACTATAATACACTAAAATATCCCCTTTAATTAATGAGAAAGTAGGGAGGATGGAGTGTTCAAAGTGCGAATGTGAGCAGAGGTATCCATGATGAAACAAAATAAATACTGAAGAGACTGTAATCCCACAAGAAGCTTAAATAGAGAAAAAGAAAAAAGTAACAAAGACCCTTTGCCCCCAGGGAGAGAAGAAGACCTCTGTTCCCAGAGATAAAGATAATCGTAGAGATAGATAAAGAGAACCTTTGCTTTTGAACAGCTCATCCTTAAAATAATACCCCATAAGTTAACATGGCCCATAAACACAGATGTAAGAAGGCTGTGGAAATGGCAAAACTTCACAATTACAAATCGTTTCCTGGGCAGCTGCTATTCTTAGAAATGAAAGGCTACGAGAGAACTGTTTCTTGAAAAAATGTATCCATAGCATAGCAAAAAAAAAACTCCTTTCCCTAAAAGAATTAATAAAAAACTATTGTAGAAGGAGTTACAAATTTAAAATCCCAAGTTTTGTGTCTATGTTGTCAGTCGAAAAAGAAAAAGTAAGACAAGGGGAGGAAAAATGTCCTAAAAGTTTTATTCTAATGCTTCTTATTCTTTTAGTTCTGTTAATAAAGTTTTCTTCATACCTTTAAGTTTTAAGCCTGTTTTTCCCTCCTCATAATCCATAACTCACAGCGAAAGATGAGTAAGGGCACAAGTAATTTTAGCCAAAACAAAACCCACCACATTATTTAGGACATTAGCCAAGAAACTCAAATCAGAGAACCTAGACCACTACAAAGGAGAAGACAACCTGTTTTTTACAGGGGAAAAAAAAATTTGGACATTTCCAGGCCATGGTCCATTAGAATCAGTTCACATGTCAGCCCAACTGCTGCACTGTCTCCTCCTCCTGCTCATAGCTGTGGGATGGGCTGTGGAGCAGCACAGCCACAGCAGGGAGGCCTGTGGGACTGGAACAGGACAAGGAGAAGGAGCAGGGACAGCTCCTGTGGGTCACCATGGCCATGCCCACTAAGGGACACTGCCCCCAGCACAGCTCAGCATATGAGGCCGTGGCTGTCAGGGACAAGGGACATCTGGGACTGGCAGGAGCAGCAGAGGGATCCCAGTTCCCCAGTGGGAGAATCTGCAGGACAGCTCCAGCACAGGCACCCCAACCAGCCTGGCCCAGCAGGCACTGCCAGGCTCAGCGTCCCCAAACCAGGGCCAGGCAGGAGCATCCCCAGGGACACAGCCTCTGCTCAGCCCCAGCACCATCCCCAGGCCTTCTGCTGTCACCAGGCCAGTGCCACCCCCAGAGGCAGCAGGCACAGCAGCCCTCCAGCAGCAGGACACGCACACACGGCCCAGGCCTGCAATGCCAAAGTGCTCGTCTTTATTCAAGCTGGGAAAAGCAGCCCCTGCCTCAAAGACAGTGGGGCTGGCACCACAGGGCTCCAGCCCAGCAGCAGCCAGCAGGAGCAGCTGCCACTGCTGCTGTCACCCCAGCTGGGCACGGCACAGGCAGGGACACGAGGGGACATCAGGAAGCCAGCAGTGAATGGGATGTTCTTCTCAGGAATTTCAGGGTTTTAACCCCAGATTCTGTAGAAAGAAAGCAGACAAGCACATCCCGTGGTGTAACGTTCCCTGTCCCTCTCCCCCCCTGCCCTGCAATGCCCAGGGTGTGGTGCAGCAGACTCAGGCTCAGGGCAGGTGAGGTGCAGTCCCTGGTGCAGACAGGTTGGACCTGGGCTATCTCAGTGCTGGCAGCCCTGGCTCCAGGTCTGTGCAGGTACAGCAAGACCTGGATCGTATCCTGAGTGCTGCCCAAGGACAGGGAATGCTTCACTCTTTGTTGAGTGGTTGAGTCCTCTGCAAAGTCTGAATGAGGTCCTGGGGTCTGGAGGAGATTGGGGAGGCCCTGGCTGACCTGGGGCTGCTGCAGCCCCACTCAGGGCAGCTCCAAGCACCTTCTCTTCCCTCCCCTCAGCTCTGCCTTGGAGCCTGAAGGGTGCTGAGCCTTTTGCTACTCAGGAGCCTTTAAACAGCTTCTGCCAAGACAGCAGCTTTTGTCATTCCAAAACTTACTTTTTGCAGCAAAAGTAAAATCTGGAACATTTTCCCGCAATGCCATAGGGGAAAGAGCAATTTAGAAGTGAGCAGAATCCCTTTTCTCGCTTACATTGCTTCTCATTTTTTGGTCCCAAGGAGGATCCTGCAGAAGGAGGAAAGACTCAAAGTGAGTGTGGCATAACTGTTAAAAATGTATCTGGTTCCACTGGAACCAGTGCTGGCTCTGAGTCCCAGTCTTGTGTGGGAACTGAGCACCAAACCCAACATCTTAAACTCTTCAGTCAGAGGTCTTTTCTTCCACAGCAAAATGTGCCTGTGGAGAAAGGCAGAGGGAAAGAGTAACATGAGCTACAGGAGTTGCTGTGCTGCATCCTCAGCTGCCCAGATCCTCCTCACAGCAAGTGCCTCTGAAATGTTATCAATACCTGAGAATTGTGGTCGCTTACCAGGAGCTGGAATACCCCAGTGACAGGGGTTCACACCTCAGCCATCTCCCCTCTGTCCCTCTCACCTGCAGCACCGTGGACCAACAGGAGGAAGAAGGGGAAGAGCAGGTAGAGGATCCGCATGGCTGATGCCTGTCCTGGGTCTTCTTGGGGCTGCAGAGGGGACACACCAAGAACCAAAGCAGGGTCAAGGATTTAGGGGAATCTTTGTGCCTGGAGAGGCCAAGCTAAATGAAATCTTATCCAATGCACTTCATCCCCCCAGCCAGCCCAAAGCTGGATCCTCAAATATCCTGCACTATCTCCTCTGCTTTCCTGAAGTCAGTAAAGTCTTCCCAGCTCACTTGGGACTGTGTCTATTCCTAATTGTGATTATTCCCAGGATTCCCATCAATCCCACTCCCCCATCCCTGTGCAGCACTGACCCAGGAAGAAACAAGAGGGCAGGGAAGCGTCTTGCTGGCCCAGAAGTGACTCCCCAGTGACCCACCTGATGAAGGTGTTGGCTCAGAGCACACCAAAGCAGAAATGGTATGTAATAAACCCACCAGGAAATGCTTGTGTGAAGAGTCCAGTTCAGGGAATCTCCCTTGCCCCAAACAGGCTGGATTTATAGCAGTGCTGGTGGGTGGGACAGGCCCCAGTTGCTGCTGGCACAAGTGGCCTGGGCCAACCCGGGAGTGCCCCATGTGTGTGGGGGTGCTGGGGCTGGCCCTGCTCCCTCCCTGCTGCAGGGACAGGGGCTGAGGTGCCTCGTGGGGCTGTTGCAATCAATGTCACCGTTGTCCCCATGCAACACCTCTTGTGACACCCATGGCACAGCAGCAACGGGCTGTGGGGCCAGCTGGGAAACCCTTGGGATGGGCACAGGAACTGGGGGTGGGGGCACAGGCACCACAGCAGTCCTAGGGGAGCAGAATCCTTCTTGCATAGGCTTACAGGATCCCCTCTGCAATCGTGAGGGTTTGAAGTGATGTAAAAGTTCATCTCATTCCTCACCTTGCCATGGACAGGGACACCTTCCACTATCCCAGGTTGCTCCAAGCCCTGTCCAACCTGGCCTTGGACACTCTCAGGGATGCAGCAGCCACAGCTTCTCTGGGAAACCTGCACCAGGGCCTCATCACCCTCACAGGAAAAAAAAATCTCTTCCCAATATGCCAGCAAACATTGCCCCCTGTCTGTCTGAAACCTTTCCCTCTTCTCCCATCTTTTTCCTATGTCTCTTCTCCTCTGATTGAAAGAACCAATTGGCATGGGATATGCAAAAACTCACACAATATGGAAAACACCTTTGGACACTTCAGGAACATCTTATTAGACAAGAGCTCTTTGCACCTGACATGTCAGAGTGTTAAGCAGGGTTCTCTCTAGCGACTCTTCATCTAAAATGAGAGCAACACCAGGATAGATGATGTTCTATAAACCAGGTGATCCAACAAAACCGAGTCTCCTCCTAATACCAACCAAGGTGAAGCAATACAAGCTGGATGCAGCCATCACTTGTGAATGCAGTGTGTTTGAAGCCAGCCATGTGTCACGATCTGCAAGGTGGGATTCGTGATGTGGTTCTTTTAGTCGGTCTTTGAGTATAAAAGATTATCAGCAAACCAAGGACTTAAACATGAAAACACTCTCTATTGAGTGCTCATCAGCACTAATATGCGATAGAGGGAAAGGAAAGAGAAAGCAAAGCATAAGGAAAAGAGAGTAAGGGGATTATAGCTACCAACGTCGAAGTCCACTCAGTCGTCCAACGACGCAGAGTTTTCTGTCCGTTGAGGAGATCTCAAAGGAAGGTAAGTTTGGGG